GCAGTCTCAAATCACAACTCCAGAGCTTGATAAAAAGGGCTTGAAAAATAATTGGCATGCTTCCACCATCCTCTCTTCAGGAGATGGTGAGAAAGCAAGGCCGTAAAATTACATGCGACCCCAAACACATCCTGTATAGAGATTTTGAGTTGCTGCCCTCAGACAGAAGGTATAGATTAAACAAACTATAGATAGAAAAGGTATAAGTTTTCCTTTGTTGCGCTGTCAATCAAGTTGCTGAACAGTCAGAAACAATTGTGATTATGCTGTGTTAGGAGTTGTTGGGAGGTGCAATGTTTACAGTGTAGTTTGTGCAATCGAGAAGGTTAAATAGGGAAAGTGCATTATGTGTAAATAGGGATATGTGCAATTTGACGGACACTATGCATAGGTGCAATAGGGAAAGTGCAATATTGATTTGTGTATGAATACAATAGGGAGTATGTGCAATAGGGAAAGTGCTGTACCTGTATGTTTGTTTCTTTGCCATGTGATATGTGATCTCTGTTCTGTATCTATGACTGATTGACCTGAATATTTTGTTTATCTCGATGCCCAAGACACATTTCTCCTAAGGGAGACACTAAAGCTCTATTATGAAAAACACGCAACTAGAAAGACTACCAATCCCAGAGTCGCATAAGTGATGTCCTGATGTCATAGTTTTCATAATTGACTTTTTTTCTTTTTTTTTTAAAGTAATACATGATTGTCACAAGGCCTTGTCTCTACATTACAATAAAATATAAAAAATATTTGATTAATTAATTTGAATAACAATTCAAGTTAGTAGCTATTAAAGGCAAAAGACAGAAATGTATAATTCTTTCTTTAATAGAAATGTTTCTTCTGCCCGTAAAGTGTCCAAACCGGGCTTTTCTGGATAAGCGCATTTTTAAAGCATTGTCATTGTCCATGCCGGTTTCAGTTGGATTATTTGTCACAGTTGCTCCGATCTGATCGGTCTCCTCCATTCTGTAGATTATTTACGACTTTTGAATCCACATAAACACATCGGCAAAATCCGGCTTACTTTGAGCATGTGTGTTTTAAACAGTTTAATCTCTTTGTGAATTGTTTCCACTTCCCCGCCGACCTTTAATTTCTCCATACAGCGGCAATCCAAATGAATTAATCCTGAGTCCAATAACCATCAAAGTCACTCCAATAGTGCTCCTTAATTACGCTTTCATCCTCCTTTAGCAAAATACTTCACATTCATCTAGTTTGTGGCAGTAGTTGTAGCATTTGTTAGACTTTTAAACTTTAATTACCCCCCCCACACTGTGTTTACATGCTTATTTATACAATATGTGTGATTATTATGCTAACATCACAAGACAAAAGTTGGTTCCGTGTTGTGTGTAGTGAGAACACGCTAGAGTGAGGGGGGCCCCCAAGCCAAAGCTCGCTTAGGGCCTCCAAAAGTCTAGGGCCGGCCCTGCATAGTTTCCATGTCCCTCCGCGCTCTCCCTAAAGGGATAGTCCGCATTACTCTGTGACTGTAGCTCAACTAACATTAACTCTATATCACTATAACTTTAGCTCACTGTAGCAAGTTTAGCGAAGTAAATAGTCCTTCCTTGGCTAGCTGTAGCAATATTTGCTTGCATTGTCATTGCAATCACATATTTCACGAAATAAGACATTCTCCAACAACTAAAGTAAACGAAACAAAGTAAATTAATGTTTAAATACTTAACGTTAAATGTGTCCTTGTGGTGTGTTGCAAAATAGATTAGTTCACAACAGTGTCTGTGGGATAACAAACAAAGCTCAAGAGCTAATAATGGTCCTTTATCATGGTGGACAATATTGGAAGGACTCAATTATCAACAAAGCAATAACTTACTTTGGTGACCGGGCATATAATGTTTCGTTTAAATTTGATGTTGTCATATGTTGCAAAACAACTTCGGTCATTTCTGTCTCAGAGGACTTTACGAATGCAGAAAACCTTGACTATTGAATGGATAAAGGTAGTGGAGGATATATGTGGAGGAGAAGAGGCTGATGTTTTTTTTCTTCTCTTTTGTCTCCTTCACTTGCGCATCCAACAATGGCTGTATAATAAGAGAACTTTTGGAGAGTATCGTTGCTGCTTCTTCAATTTTCCTCCAAATATTTGCATGGAGTCCATAAGGGACTACAGCTAAATGTACTTAATGGTTTTCAAATATTAGAGGAGTGAATAATGCAGTTTAGGAGTCATATCATTGATGTCATACACCGGAACAACATTTCTTCACACCTGCTACTCTCTGGAGGTGTGAGTGGGCTCTGACCTTTGAACTTTGTTGAGGGGACATGCCACATGTCATCATAGTTCAGATATGCTCTGATCCAGACCACCTTAATGAGGAAAACAGTCATCACATGTGTCCCTGGAACACCTGCTGCCTTTATAAAATGACAGGTATCAGAACTTGAACGTTGGTTCTCTCTTCAAGTGTGTGTCTTCAAGGTGTTGTTTAAAGGCAAGGGGGGGCTTCTCTGTGGCTTTATCACTATTTCACTGCATGTTCTAGAGACAAGCAAGGACAGTACTTTGTTGAACACATTATCAAATTCCCTCGAAGGTGAGTTTTTGATTTTCTTGGGTTTTATAAATGAACTTATTTAGCAGGATAAACTGTGTGTTTAAGCTCTTAGTCATGTGTTTACCAGGCGACCTGAGGATGAGCCTTCAAGTGTTGTGTGTGCTGGTCCTGTTTCTCTGTCCGAGCACTGATGAGATGGTTGTCGACAAAAAAAGAATGTCGAGGTGTGTATTCAGTCTCTTTCTGTGTGGCATTTTCAGACTTTTAGCAGCAGTTTGATAAATGTATACATTTTTGTAGTACATTTTACAGAAAAATCTAAAACAATGTAATTAAATTGTTGTCATTTATAGAGATTGATAAAGAAAACATCAGCAGATTAAATATATTTATATATATAAAACATAATCGTTAGATGCAGCACAGTCTAGATACATTTCATGTCTGTTGTGAAAGCTAGTGTATTTGAAAAATGTAACATGATGTTTAGCATTGAAATTGACTGTAAGTAAAAAAACATCCCTTAATCAACACCACTTTTCTTAGATGGCATTCATATCGGATGGAAAAAGGAGAAAATCTCATCATCCGGAACTTCAAAAGGCATTCAGATGGGACATTCGGCAGCGACTTGACCCAATACCTTGATAAAATGAAAGCGAAAAATTTTGTAGAATGGCTGAGCAGCACCAAACAACAATGGTGAGCTGAAAGAAACATTTAAACCAAAATATACTTTAAAACTGTTTTAAATCATTGAGATGTGATAAGAGTAAAATAATCCCTCTTGTACCAGTTGTGTGGACTGATTAAAGATATTATTATAATTTTGGATCCAAAAACGGTTCACAGGTTGTGTAATTATTATTTTTTTGGATGTAACCTCGACTTCAACTCCTTATATTTTACTTACAGCTGCCATAATGAACTGCTCGGCCTTGCAGCAGAAGTCTAATACAGCTCAGATTACATTTGCAGTATGCTTGATACTGCTTTACGTCATCCAGCTGCATGAAAGAAGATGAATCCTCTGCACCAACATAGAATATTGTTGTGAGTTTATTTATGCTATATATATTTTTTAATTAAAGGTGCATTTCGCACATTGCTGTTTCCAAATGTTGAAGAAAAAAATGTAATGTGTTTTTTATATGAATACTTTTTGTTTTGAAATACACGTCGACCGACTTAATGTTTTTTCAATTGTAATCATGTTGAAATACTGACCACTGATTCTGTTTTTGCCACTTTTGATTTTTAAACTTTTTTCAAACTTTTTTTCTGAATGCATTGTGGCTTTTACCTGTATGCCGTTGTGATGCACACAATGACAATAATTAAAAGGTTAAATAATGTGTTTTTATATTGACATTGATTATAAGTACTGTCTTTTTAATAGCTTAGTACCGAATGAATGAATAGACAAGGCAGTAGTGATGGCACATTTGATGCATGCACAGGGATGACCAGGCGTGGGTGCTGTTGTTCAGCAAATCAGAATAAAACAAGCAGCCAAACATCTCTCAATGCAGGCTGATAAAGGCAATGGGTGTGAAGCATAGACTGTGGTGTGAAGGCATGCATCTGCTTTGTTTGCTTTTACAGTGGATGCTGTATATAGCGTGCACTTTGTTCACACACATTTACATTGTTGCACAATGAGGTTATGCAATTAGGCTGTCAGAAAAATATAGTAAGTAACAGAGTTAACATTGTATTGGATAGTAGGGCAGGTGTATTTTAGATAGGTGGAGAGAAACTGTTGTAACTGCTTGGGATTTGTTATGTATATGTGTGTGCTGGTAATGGATTGGTGGGAGGTTAGTTATGTCTGCCTCATTGAGGAATGTAATGTATGGGGGTGAAGCTGTGTTGGCTCTTGGCTTCTGGCCATATAGCCATGATGGAGAGCTCCCTCTTTGGGCTCCATCCTCCCTCCTCAGTCTGACTCTCTGGGGAGAAAGGGAGACCTGGGGAAGAGGGGGAGGGAGGGAGGAAAGCACTGTTCGAAATGGGGGGAGCTCCCCCGAAGAGGGAGGGGAGGGAGGGAGCTCCCGTGAAGGCCGACTTTGAAATAAATAGGGGGAGCCCAAAAAAATCGTGCATATTTGTGTCACACAGATTAGAAATGCTGAGTTTCTGTAAATAAAAGTTTGTTGAAATAAATAATAGTCCCTGTTCATTACAGTTTCTGAATATTTGTTTTATATTTGTGACTATTTCTGGGTGTTGGCATCTGTACGTGGCGGCACTGCACTCTACGCTATGTCCTTGCCTTGAAAGTAGCATTACTGCATCTAGCGATAATTCCTGAGGTTAAAGTGTGAATTGATTTTCAACCCTGTTACTTTCAACCCTGTAACTATAATTAAGAGTAACAGGGGTAATTTTTCATTGGAAAATATACATTTGATGCCTTAGCTGGGCAAATCACTTTTTTTAATGGTTTATCATCTGTTTTTCCTAAATACATTAAAAAAAATTATAAAATAAAAGGTTCATTTTTCAAAAATGTTGCTGTCTAAATTGTCCTCCAATTCTGGAATGACCCAGCAAATGTGGATGTGAGATTTGCAAAGAGGCAAAAAGTATATTGATCTCCCTGCCGCTCGCAAAAAAATCCACCTGAGTGCATGCACCTTTCACAAGAATGGATTCAGGGAAAAGTCAGCAGTGATCAACAGAATAACCTGCGGGAAAAGATTTATAAGCACCTTAAGAGCCAGGCACAACAAACAAGATTGGCATATTGGCAATCAATGTGGATCTAATGCAGGAAACATATAGGCTACATCTTTCAGGTCTGCCTTATGATTGCCAAATAAATGCTCCCCCGAAAGCAAATGGGTAATTCGAACACTGGAAGCACAGCACACAACCCTCTGATCTCAGTCAAGGGTTGACATGGGATCATATAGCCTAGTAGGAAAACCCCCTTTTACTGCTGGCTACTTGCACTTACCGCCTGTCTGACATTTACCAGCAAGATTGCTGCAAAAGGTTTCCCAGCATTTGATTGCAATTGGGATGGACAGTGTCAATGATGTATCACTATCATTAGTAATAGGCTACATGATAATATTCAGTGTTTAATATCGCGTATAACAAGCCAAAGCCTCTCCTTAAAAGAGGCTAATCCTGTCAAAGGAAATACTGTGACACGTTTAATTGTTATATTTAGTCACGTTCACATCTACCCACAGAGAAACCACCACATGCTATGTGGCAACATGCTTCAGAGGAAGGGCGGGGGATGAGAGCAAGGCGAGCTGAGGGGGAGTGTAGGTGTGGCTATTAGAATTAGGTCGAGCTGCTCCTCACACTAAAAACAAATTGTATGGCTGTGTTTAGCTTCACGACAAACAGCGCTGTCATCTTATCATCCGACCCCAGACGAGGAGCCTCAGAGCCGGGCAGAGGATGTTCGCTGTTCCCGGCTCCACCTCCAGCACCGAGGCGAACAGCTTCTCTTCAGCGCACCTGCTCCCGTCGGCTCTTTACCTCGTCGTAAACGAGCCTAATTTTGGGATTAAATGCCTTTTTTTGGTGGGATTTTTTGTATGGGTGTAGGAGCAGTTTAGGGAGCCGTGCATGGGCTAAAAGTGATGGAGGCACTGGGCCAAACTGGGAGGGTGCTGCTGACTCAGCCTCGACTGCTGCATTAATTTATCTGCACTGCAGTGCACCACCACCTCCCTTCGCCTTCTCTTTTCCTTACCTCCCCCCTCCCTTCCCGATTCTCTCTCTCCTCTCCTCTCCTCGCCACCCCACCCCACTGCACTCTCAAATCCTGGAGTATGGCAGGCAGTGACACGAGTTGGAGGGGGTCGATTGTCAATAAGGCGCATGTTCCCATTGCCAACATGTGTAGATGATAGATAACGGAGAGGGACAGTTGAAAATATCATACTAAAAATCCAGGGGGACGGAGGAAAGGCGGGGGAGGAGGGGAAGTCGAAAAGACTCCACGTGACTTGAGGGAAGGAAAGGAGGCAGCATTTTGTAATTGGACCAAAGGGAAAGGGAGGAGAGAAAGGAAGGGTAGTCCATGGAGAATTTGCCATCAATTCAGGGTTTGGTGAAAACTCGATGCATCATTTACATTACAATTCCACCCACTCTCCAAAAAGGGTTTCTTACCCTTCTCCTCCCTGAGAAGCAATAACAGATCAATATTCCCCAACATCTCAGCCCTGATCTGGTGAGGTTTTGAGGTTACGAGGGCAATGAATGTAATATCATACCTCTAGGCTATTTACTTTATGGTGGACCACAAACAAGAGCATCACGGTACAGATGGGCTGCATACAAATGGAGCTATAGTCCATCTTCTGCCTGTGAGTGGGATGTTAACACAGCGCTCTTAACAAATTCAATAAGTCCATTACACTTAAAAGGCTGCCTTTCATGACCCCGTTACCACAGCACCACTCAGCTCCCTTTCACAGGATGTTTTGTAATCCACTTGGGTCCTCATAAATCACCACAAAAGTTAAATAATCTGCACAAAATGGTGACCATTACTTAAAGTGGACACAATTAATCTGAAAAGAGCCTGAAGGAGAATGGAAAACCAACACACGATTCGTAACTGGAAGGCTGCTTTATTGGTAATAAAAAGGTTCGTACTCAAATGAAGACAATCTTTCATATATTCTTACCATGAGTCCAAGTGGTTGTGCAACACACGATCAGTACTGTATATCCTCCTTTATCACGGTGTCAAATGATAACAACAGTTTGAAAAGCACTTAAAAAAATTTCAGCAAAAAGAAAAAAAAACGCCCATAATAAACCATGCTAAAAAAGAATATTGTCAAATATTGATACAAAAATAAATTTCAGATGGAAACAGAAACATTGAAGAAATAAAACGGAAATATAGAAGGCAAGCTGCTTTTTCACAAGCCAAGTGGGTGACACACATAGCACTAAGAACAGGACATTTAGCTGTTTTCTGTTAACATCACAAACTGTTGAATATTAAGATGAAGTGGGTTGTCTCAGGATGATCCTCCGGCAGTAGTTCTGACTCGACATCCCTGATAAATGTTGTGCTCACCCCCAAACCTCCACCCTCCACAGTTTGGACCGTTTCTTTTTTTTTTCAGTGTGTAATTGACATCCAAATTTGCAGAAAAAGCAGAAAAAGGCACATGCCATTGAGTGGAACATTAGAAACAAACCATTCAACAAAAATACATTTGAGGATGAGAAGCAAGTACATGGTTGTATGCATGTTGACCTGTAATGGCACTGATGTGTGGGTATGGGAAAAGGCCCTGGGTGTAGGTACCGTCTCAGGGAGATCACTGGTAACATTGGTTGGCAGTAAGGAGTCACCTGTGTGTGTTTTAGTGTCTGTGACTGTGGGTGTGTCCTGTATACTCGGTGAAAGGGAGAGATATGACAGTAAGTGAGAAATGTGCTGGTAACATTATCCTTTCATCATGATCAGGCTACAATCCATGGCAAGCAGCTCCAGTAACATCGCACATGAGCTATCCCCCAACATAGAAGGGTGCTGGAAACAACCAGTTTTTAGACATCCACTGAACGTGTTGCACATAAATCAAATGTGACAGTGTTCTTCTGTTTTATGTATCTACATATAGACATATATGTATACATGTATATATCTTTTGTATTATATAATATCTATATTTCATTCAATTTCCGTCAACAAAGTGAAAAGTTTCTCAAAAAATCCAAAAAGGTAACAAATGTGACAAAGGGCATAGCTGGAAGCCATTCTATATTATTGTTATTATTCATTTTTTGATTATTAGTAGTAATATTTTTTTTTATTCCATATTTACAAAAAACACAACAAAGCATGCCGATAAAATAAAATAATATAATACAATATTTATAGTTTCGCTCAAAAAGTTTGTTCTTTTCAGCGATTGTGCCATTTACATCATAGCCTGCACTGTACATAATAGGTTTTTGTGTTTTATTTGTTTTTGTTTTTTGCTTGTTTTTTTTCTTGTTTTTTTCAAGTGTGAATGTATCATTCTAAAACATTACATCAAAGATGAACGTGGATACATTGGATGACATTACTCACTTCTCGTGTGGTTCTCATTGGGAATGTATTTGGTTTCAGTGTGCAGCAGCCAAACTGATTTGGAGACCTCATATTGTAAACAGACTTCAGTTATTGTTACAGACAGGGGGTTCAGGTACAGGCAGTGTTAAACACACCAAATGGCATTAGTGGTGTGACAAAGGATGCCAGATGTATGTCCAGTCATCCAATTATAAATAGGACCATCACTCCTGTGTAGAAAATAAATGGCAGGAACACCTAAGTAGGCAGTTGTGTCTTGTCTACCACTTGACAAAGCCTCAGGTTTTATTTTTATGAAAAACACCCACAAGCTCATTATACAACAAAGCTGCGTTGATGTGAGGCCTGCTGATGTTAAATCTTGGCGAGTGTTCGCTTTACTACCTCCATCTCTGGCTAGTTGTTTTTGAAGCGGGTTATAGTACTTTAAAAGCCTGCAGGTATGTGAAAAGATGGTGCGAGCCTGGGTCCAACACCACACAGTGTTTAAGAGGTCCCACAAAAGCACAATGATACACTGACAAACATGGGACTTTCAGCACTCTGACTCAGACCAAACAATATTCACTTCTTCAGCTCTTCCATTTCTCTCTTGTCCTCATGGCAGTCTGTCCAAAACCCTGAAGTGAGGGGCTCTACTTATGTATTGGTCCAAGTTTGTGTTATTTATCACTCATCCACCTCCCTGAAATATCAGACAAATTCCATTTAATTCTACAGTCCAAACCACCTTCCATTCATGCTAGGCACGACAAGGCTTGTCCTTGTGACAATTCTCTGCTCACTCTGCTGTTTCAGATGGTCAGTGTTACTCGCACTGATCAAATCCTTTTTCTGAGAATGATTGCATC